TAGAATAGGAAAGTAGCACTCATGGAGAATAACAACCCATCTATACATTAAAGAGCTATGCAACATCAACCTGATTTATTTCCCCCTTAACACCACATCTGTCTTTCATGGATCAAGGTGTAATACAAAGTCTTAATGCTTACTATAACGACAAAACTCTGCGTCTGTATTTTAAATCTGTTACTAATAACGAACCCCTGCCGAAAATTTCAAATTTTTCAAGCAATTAAAATTCTTGCTTTTTCAAAGCTGCGTCAAAGAAGACTGTCATAAATTTCCAAAACAAACAAGCATATTGCAGAAGCTGATAATGATCATTCTTTTAAACATCTGACAGAAGAACTTGGCCGTTTGGCCTTTGAACCCGCTAAGCCTATTTAATGTTCAACTAGAAGATACTTTTGAAACGCTTCAAAACGCTTTGTTATAAAGCTCAAAATACGGAAATGAAATACGATCTCTAGCACTAAAACTTGAGGATTTGATGAACATGGAAAAGATAGATAATTTGCAGCAATGTCAGATGACAGATTTTTTCCAAAAAAAGTTAGTTCATGTTGTTAGTGAATTTTTTTAGAAAAATAACTTATTTTTAAACCTTTTCTTGGTATCTCAAATACTCGATATCTTGAACTTTTTTCTCTGTCCGCTTAATGCTCGAGATATTGAGAGTTAATTTTATGTGTTTAAGATATGAGTTTAAAGTTAACTCATGCATATTGGTGCTAAATATTGTAGTTTAAATCAAAATACGTTAGAAACACTTTTTGCTTTTGATGTATACTGTCCCACCTGCAGTGCAAAACTTCCTCATCTCACCTTCAGTGCAAAGCATCCAAAGCCATAACTGAGCACCTCAAAAATTTGACGGTTTTTCGTAATTTTTTATCCAGAGATCTATTGCAATATGTAAAAAGTCAAAAGCAAATCGTTTTATTTATTGATCAATCACCTTATTTCTTCCTAGTACTTTGGTAGATAACTAATGTAACAACAAAATAATATAACAAAGTTTATGAATAAAGAAAGACTTTATTATATTTTATTTCAAAGCAGTGTGCACAAGACGTAAATTAAACGTCTAAAAACGTATTAATACAATTAAATACGTGTTTTATACGTTTAAAAAACGTTTTGGGCCACTAGAAGAAGTTCATTTTTTTATAATATATTTAAAAAATTATGTCGTTTAAAAAATAGTTTAAAAAATTTAAATTGTTAAATTAATAATCGTTTAAGAATAATTCTTTTAAGGCAAGTATTTAAACAACAAGTAGTTTAGGACAATAGCTAAACTATAAATAAATCAAAACAACTGCATATTTAAAAAAGTAGAGGAGATGGGGTGCATTGATCGCGGGGGCAGTATGATCTTTTAGCTTTTACTTGTTTACTTTTGCCTTAATTTAACAGAGATTGCAATTTAATTAACCATTATACTACCTTTCATTGCTTAATCGTAATAATTTTGATAAGATCAACTTCAGCGTTAAGAAAATTGAAAAGAATGCTTTCGTCATGAAAAGTGATTTTTGAAACTTGTAAACAAATTCAAATAAATTTTTAATTAGATTTCCGTATGACTTTACAACCAATTTATTGTAAAATCATATGTGTTAAGTTTAAAATAAATTTGTTTTTTTGAGTTGGTTACTGTATTTATAGAAGTTATTGGCATCAATATATCAACTGTACCTAATGGGGCACATTGATCGTTGACTATGCGGGGCTCATTGATCGGAGGATCAAAGTGCCCCATATAACTTATATTATAAGACTTAAATTTTTTGTTTAGATTTTATACATTTAAACTTATAACGAATAAAATATCTTTATACAAACTTTTAAAATTTCATTTTAAAAATGTAATAGTGTTAAAAACTAATATTAATAACATTAGTTTTTAGTTTTACATAAGTTTTACAATTAGTTTACATAATAATATTATATAAAATATTTTTTCAAAAAAATCATTTTATTTTACTTTTTTAAATTTTCAGATCTTTAAATGGTTAGGTATAGAAAAAAAAAAACAGACAGAGTTGCTATATCATGTGATACAATGAAATCAGCTGTTAATGAAGTTTTAGAGGGCAGACCAGTGAATGTTGTAGCTCGCAAGTTTAGCATAAATCGAATGACCTTAAAAAGATATTGTAATAAAAAGAAGCTCAACCCAAATGAATCTTTTAAGCTTAATTACAACAATAAACAAATTTTTACTGCAAAAGATGAAAAAAGTTTGTCAAGTTATTTACTACTTGCATCAAAAATGAACTATGGACTTTCAACTAAGTCAACACAATTATTAGCATACGAGTTATTTAGCATAAGATTTGCCCTTATATATACAATTATTAGCATAAGATTTGCCCTTCATTATGGATCAAGAATAAAATTGCAGGGATTGATTGGTTGCAAGGTTTTATGAAAAGACAACCAGAGTTATCTTTACAAACACCTGAAGCAACTAGCTTTGCTGCCTTTAACCGACACACTGTTGGAGAATTTTTCCAAAATCTAAAAACAGTAAGAAATCGATATAAGTTTGATCCTTATTGCATATATAATGTTGATGAAACTGGTTTAACAACAGTACAAAAGCCAGTAAAAGTGTAAGCAGGTAAAGGAAGTAAACAAGTAGGAAGAATCGCATCTGTAGAACGAGGAACATTAGTAACTGTATGTTGTGTTTCAAATGGAATTGGAAACTCTATTCCTCCACCTTTTAATTTTCCTAGGTTCAAATTTCATAATTACATGATAAAGGAAGGTTCTCCTGGATGCGTGGGATTTGCAAATCCTTCTGGTTGGATGAATTCAGACATTTTTATAGAATGGATAAAACATTTTGTGAGGTATTCAAACTGTTTTTATGAATTTCCAGTTTTGTTACTTTCGGACAGCCATAAAAATCATATTTCTGTTAGAGCTTTGGATCTTGCAATTCAACATGGAATTACAATGCTAAGTTTTCCTCCCCATTGTACCCATAAATTGCAACCATTGGATAGAACTGTTTTTGGACCATTGAAAAGGTTCTACAATGCTGCGTATGATAATTGGATGGTCACAAATCCAAGACCTATGACCATTTATGATATTGTTTCAATAGTTCGCGAACCATATACAAAAACTTTCTCGCCATCTAATATACAGTATATAAGATAAGTAATATAGAGGATTTCAAGTAGCTGGCATTGAGCCATTTAATCCAGAAATTTTTAAAGATGATGAATATTTACCACCATCAGTTACAGATTGTGCTGCTCCAAATGTAGTAAACACAATTCTTGTGGAACCTGAAATGATTGTAGCTCATGTTGATGGCATGGAGCCTGAAATGCCTGTAGTGAAGCATTGCTTCATTACTCTTACCTGAAGTTTTGAAACCTTACCCGAAAGCATCTGACAGAAAAAGAAGTGTTAAAAGTAGGCAATCAAAAATAAGGTTTTTGACTGATACTCCAATCAGAAGTGAAATTCGTTTGTCAGAAGAAAAGAAAACCCTAAAACAAATCAACCAACAAAAGAAACTCATCGCAAAAGATAAAAAAAGAGGGAAAAGTTAAAAACTACTTGCTTAGGAACAAAAAACAATGTAATGTAAAAGCAGTATCACGACTTGACTTTGACAAAGGATGATAATTTAAAAAAATAATCTTGTAAACTTTAGTTCTAATAAAAGTCTTGTATGAATCTTGTATTTTCTTTGTAAACTTAAAATACTGTATTCTTATAAACTTTATAAGCTTCAAGTTTTGTAAAACTTAACACATATATATGTTTTAAATTTTACTTTTTTTTAGATGTATTATATAACATACACTAATACCCTTCAACTAATGCATTTGTAGCACTTAGGTATAGCTGTATTAAACATGTAAATAATGTTAGTCATGTACGATTAAAGCGCCCCATATCGGAGATCATAGTACCCCATTGCATGGGGTACATTGATCTTTTGCAAGGGTTGTTGTAATGTTGAAATATACCACGTTCATTAATGTTTTTTATTAAAACATTTATTTTTACTTAAAGACAGATTGTTCTAGTTTAGTTTAGTAATTAATAAGTTTTTATATCTAGATAGGGTTGTTTGCAGTTTTCAAAATACTGCAACGGCGATCAATGCGCCCCCATCTCCCCTATTGTCATTCATACACCTCCAAGCAGCTTTCTGCATTGTCAATGTATTTTTATTTTAGATTTATTAAGATTTATTATAGATTTTTTTGAAATAACATCAAATATAAATGTTTTATTAAAAATTTATAATCCAAAATGATGTATAAACTGCGTTTTATAAAGTCTTTGCAATTTTATTTACATTGATTAGAACATTTTTTTTAAATTTCTTTTTTCTTCCTGGAGCAAAGTCGAATTTGACCAATCAGAGCGTTTAGTTCAATTGTTGTTTGTAAAACCACGTTTTAAAAAATTTTGTTTTGATGGGGCAGAGTCTAAAAAAAAATAATTAAGCCAGTGCTTTGCTTAAACGGTATTTTAACCAACTAAAAAACTTTGCTTTATGAACTAATGAATAACCAATTTTGCACCGTTTTAAAAACAAAAACAGGCAGCATCATAAAAAATACTTCAACTTGTGACGTCAAACTTTGATGAAATTCAAGTACGTTATTTGAAATTGTTCAAAAGTGGTACAACATGTAATCCTAAAATTCATTTATTCATCATTCATTTATATTTTTAATACCTTTTTTTTAAACTAAGTGTTGGTTAAATAATTTGAAAAAAAGCTAAAACTAATTTAAATAGAAAAGTTTAACTGATTCTTAAACTGAAAGCGTTTACAAGCATTAACTATTGAAACTTGGTATTTTACATACTCTGTTGGACTTTTCAAAACAAAACAAGACAAAAAAGATTGACTTGATATAGCTTACTTTCATGCGCACTTTTTACCTCCCATGACCATTTATTATATTATGAAAATGTAAGTGTTTTTTATTAAACAGTAAAATAAAAAATATACATACCAATGCGATAACACAAATGCGTGAAATTATAAACATCTCAATAAGAGTTTATATTCTATAAAAAAAAATTGTTTGTTATTTCACTTAAATATATTGTAGAACTTCTTTCAACTAAAAGTTTATTAATGTATAAAAATCTCAAATCTTTTTTGCTCAATTATATATATATATATATATATATATATATATATATATATATATATATATATATATATATATATATATATATATATATATAATTTTAAATACTGTAGAATGACTTTTAAAATTTTAATGATATTTATACCGTAATTAAGTTGTATGAGAACAACAAATTCAATCCTATTAAGAAACAAAAATTTAAAATATTTGAATATCAATGTTCACAAAAAATATGTATAAAACATTTTTTTCAAAAATGCAATTTTATAAGTTTATAAATTAAAAAAATGTCAATGTAATAATAAGTAGTGAAAAAAGCAACAAAATGTTTTTATATATTTAGAAATATATGTATCAGTCTTTTTAACTGCTTATATACCTATGCATTGCTTAAATAAAAGTACTAATGACAACACAAACCTCTTCACAAAATTATATTTTAGATGACAATAAATTCATTTTAAAACCTACGCGGACATGGTAAGTTTAAAAAAGATATTTGCTCCAGATTTCTCAAAATTCTGAAACTCTCATACTATCTAAAGAATCAACAAACAGATTGTGTTAATTTTGACGCTTTCAATTTTAAATATATTTTGCTTCGCGTCGTATCAATTTGCATTTTTTAAGTTTTCTTATGTAAAGGTGTAAAAGAATGAGTTGTAAATCTGGATAATATAATTCGTAATTGTCAAAAAGTTGAATGGTCAAGTCTACTTTCAAATTACAAAGGTTCTAATTGCATCTAAGCGCAAAGCATTTCTCGATAATAATAATTGGGCATATCTATAAAATAATATTTGTAATCAATCAAAATTTCCCTAATTTTTTATGGTCAATACAATTTCCACTATTCTGGTTAAACCATATCCATTCAAATATTTAAATTATTAACGAAACTCTTTAGTTTTAACTCAATTAAATGCTAAAAAGTCTCGATTAGTTTTGTTTTTTAAGTTAGAGTTGACATTAAGACGAAACATAATATTTTCTTTATTCATTATTTATACCAACTTGAGAAAGTTGAGACACTTTATTATTATTTATACCAACTTTCTCAAGTTGGTATAAATAATAATAAAGTTTCTCAATTTTTCTTCCTATTTCTAATTATTTTTGTTATCTTCTTGTTTATCGAAGTTATCTTTATTTTTTTTGTTTTGGGAATCTTTGACATTTTTATAAAAACGTTTTTGATATTTGGGAACACGATATTAATCTAGAATATACTGATGTATATTCTAGATTAATATTTAATTATGTATACTTTTTTTTATTTGTTGTATTTATTAGATTTATAATCCAAAAAAAGCAGTAATTAACATTTAAAAATATTTACTAAGAAATCTAATTTTTAAAATTGCCTTGTGCTTTAAGCTTACAGCAAAATGGTATATACATTACTTTATTTTATAAAGTAGGACGGTAAAATATTAAACTGCTTGTTATTCAAAATGTAACGTCTTGCTTCAGTGTTATAGTAGCAAATTGTAAAGTTTTTGAATAATAAAGTTCAAATATGGCTTAAATAATTTTTTTTCTGGATAAAATAATAAAAATAAGGCTAGTTCAATTAATAATTTAAATAAGCAACTTGACATTTGACCCTTTACAGGCTCCAATAATAGCATAAGCATTTCCATTTTTAAAGTTTGTTGTCTGAGAGTTACCTTAAACACAAAAAAAGCTGACGCAATCTTCAAGTCCTTTAGAAGTGTTGATATTCACAACAAAAACAAAACAGTAACAAACTATGCTAAAAGAACTTTTGCTTTGCAGTTAATTTCTTATTAATTAGACTTGGGGTTTAAACAAAGTGAGAACAATGTAATAATATAATAATAATGTAGTACTTTTATGCAATTTTATTAAACATAACACATCAGGTAAGAAATTAGGACTTTAATTTTTTACCTAAAATTAAAAAAAGAGAACAAAGAGGGTGAATTAAATTATGGAGGGAGGGTGAATTAAATTATTCTCATTTAGAAAGAATATAGTTAAGACTCTAAAAGCTTTTATATAACTATAGTTTTATACAAGCTTTTAGAGTCTTAACTATATTCTTTCTAAATGAGACTTTATAAAGTATTTTAACATCTTTTTCTTATGGGGTAGTTAAACTATCCCATAAGAAAAAAATACATTTTTTCTATCTCCTCAAAACTTTTTTATGAGTATGTACCCAGTAAGTCATTAATTGTATGCATTGATTTAAATGGAACGTTTTGTTTTAAATCAGTTTCATATACTAAATATTGACAAAGTTTTACTGTTTTCTTCTAATATAGATATTGATTTTATTTTTAAAGCTAAATTACTTTAAAGCTTATATATTATCTCAAAAATGTAACTGGTTTATATTTTCGACAGCAATTCTAGATGTTTAGTCCAGTGATCACTCGATTTAAACATTAAAACCAACATATACAATTCATGGCAATCCCTCTAAAATAGAAATATATATTATTAAAAGCTTTAACTCATTCAATTTCGATTACTTTAAATTCACAGCTAAGGCTGTATTTATTATTTTTATGTTTTGTGTTTTTAAAATATATTTTCTTTTTATCACCCGGCAATAAACTCCAGGTAAAATAAATTATAATAAAATAGTCACCAATTAAATTAAAATTAGCTAAAAGACAGGGCTCATGCAGTTGTTAGCATTAAATTAGGGCACTGCAAAGCTTTGAAATGAAATAATAATTCGTATCTCGAATTATATTTTTGATTCGTTTCTAATCGAAACGAATCAAAAATATAATTCAATATACGACTCGCAAAATTTTCAAAAATTGAATCCTTACTTATTTTGTTTTTGTTGTAGGTATTTTAAATAATCTGCGTTTTGGCGCTATCAAAATAACGTTATTCATCCTTATATACCTTTTTAATCAGTCATTAAAAAGATTAACCAGGGCAAGAAGTACTAATAAAGAGATTATACAATTGTTTTTTTTATTTTATTTTGAAATATATATTATTAAATAAATTTATTATGCACTGAACGAATTTCAAACCAAGTGTTTTGCAGGCTTTAATCACTTCATTTGTAAAGGATTTTAAATTCTCTATTGCCTGTAACTGATTGATTATCAGTGAATAGCAAATTTGATTTTTCAACAGCCTGATAAAACGATTTACTTTGTTTCTAAGCAGAATAGTTGAAATATCCTCAATTTTAAAAAACGAATAAAGGTAATTTTTACTGTACTTCGAGATACAGAAAAATAATTTTAAGAACGCTCTTCCTACAGCGTTTATTTTGCTAAGAAAACTAATATCATATTTGCATAGCTCAAGACCATAAATAAGCTTTGTCACAGTTAAGTATTGTACAAATGGACTATTGTTGATGGCTAGCAGTAATGAATCTCACTTTTGATTAGAGCTATTGCAACCGATTGAAACTGATATATTCGCTCATTTAAATTTGTTTTTTGGAGTGTTGCTGTTTTTTTTTCTAGTATTGTTATCCCATTAAAAATCCAGATGTTTTAATTTATTTTGGAGGGTTTTAAAAGCTCCGTTAATTTGAATAACGTTTTTGGAAATAATGCTTTTTCCAGAAATCAGAAACTCCATTTAAACTGAGTGTTTAGCTTGATAAAGATTGCTACTCCGTATGTTTGAAATCTATTAATTAATTCTACACACCAGAGATTGTAGGACTTAGCAAAGTAACATTACCTGCATATGCAATTACACCAGGATAAATGCCATTTATCGTTAATTCGACTTTACATTCTGAGACTATTTCATTTAGGAAGCTTTCAGTATATAACTTATATAAATGCGACAATAGAGCAGACCCTTGTCTCGCCTCTTGTGACGAACTGAATTGATTCTTGATAGGATATTTTTGCAGTACCAGAAAGATAAAGCAATGAATTTGTGTGTACTTCAGACAAACAAAGGTTTTTTAGAAAAAGAGCAAATAGCAAATCTCAGTTGCAAGTATCAAATGCTTTACTTGCATCTAAACTGCACATATAAAAAGACGTGTTACTTTTTTTATAGTGCTTAACAGTTTCGCTCAATTAAAATTCTGCGTGGAGTGTAGAGCTGTTTTTTTAAAAACTAATTGATGAGAATGGCTATCTGTTATACTAGGAAATATAAGTAGTATTAGATATTCTAGAAGTTTAGTAAAAGATAGGTAAAATACTAATACCTCAGTAGTTATCTGGATTTTTAAGTGAATTTTTTGAACTTTGAATTTTTACAATTAATTATTTTTTTATTTAAAAATTATTTTTTTAGATAATTTTTACTTTATTTATTGAAAAAAATGCGTACGCAAAGTATTATGTAGCTGTTGTATAAGGGATGGTCCATAAACTACGTCACGCTTTAGGGAGGGGGGAGATGTAAGTGGTTTTGTTATGACTTATTCGGAACATGTTACTAAAGTGTTACAATGTTGTGAAGAGGATAGGGAGGAGAGGGGGTCTAAAATAGTCTAAAATTGCGTGACGTAATTTCTGAACTATCCCTAAAAAAACATAGAAATTCTCTTAAATAATCAAGCATTGTGGGTTACAATGTGCCAAACATCAATAATATGGACTATAACTAAAGAATAGATTGCGTCATATAGGTGGATCAAGAATCAACATTTTCAGAACAAATTAATTTTCAGATCAAATTAAACACATCCTATTGATTTAAAAATAAACAACTGAACGCACTGCTTTATATATTATACCTTAAAAATTTTTAAATTACTTATGGCTCAAAATAATATACTAAAATGTTCTTTTTTTAATCGTTCAAAATGACGACCTAGTAAAGTTTACAGCTCCCTCTTTTTTTTCGAATTATAAG